TGTGCATCATGTTTCCTCTTGAAAATATTGATGCTTCAACCGCAGTTTCCTGCTCGTTTTGGACTCTCTGGGACGTTGAGCCCACAGTCAAAGCTGAAGAACCATTGCTGTGTTTGGAGGGTGGGGTGGGGGGCTGCATTGTCAGAGTTGTCATCCTTCAGGGCACGACAGTGCCACTTGTGCTTGTTCAGTTCGATGGTAAAGATCCCACGTGCTATTGGAAAAGAGAGGGGAGTGGAAGCAGCCAATCAAGATGTATCTTCTCAAATTGTTTCATAATTGTAAAGCCCTCTATCAGATTCCCTCTCAATCGTCTCATCTCCAGAGAGAAAAGCTCCAACCTGTTCAATCTTTCTGGATGACTGGCTATAGGAACAAATCCCACATCGAGACTTCAGCCCTATACCCCAGACTGACAAACTGAGGTCCTATTAGTTAGTGCTGGTACTAGTTTTTGTTGTGGTTGGTTTTCTTTTGTATGAACGGGGTGACATTTTAGGTGTATTGAAGAATCATAATAAGTTAAAATGAACACAGTTTTCCAATGGCCTTGGATGGGTACATATCTATTGTGGTTTGCTCCCACATGTGGCAAACACCTCTGGGCTGGTTGGGTGACTGTATCTTACTGAGTCCTGTAATAACCAGAACTTTTGACAAGCCACCCGAAAGTAACTTAAATGCTGCCAATCTTTAACGAAAACTAAATACTACAACTGAAAAGAGAGGGTTACATTTGTGCAAATGAATTGTTGTACGTTTCACCTATTGTTGCTGTTTCACTTATGTGGGAGTTAGTTAGTGCAGTTAGTGCACACTGCTCTCCTAAGCCTTGTCATTTGAATGGAAAGGCATTATTTTTCAATTTCCTAATGAAAGGTGTCTTTGTTTAGAACCGGTTACATCAGTCAGCTTTGCATAAGTTGCTATCGCACAGATGTAAACAGTTACTCCAGAATCCTTCACTTTCTGCATCTGTGAGAATGTTTTTTGTAAAGAAAACAGTGGCTGCACTATTTTGAAGGTGTCTTTTGATGTCCTGTTATAGTGGCAGCAACACCCGGGAGAGGAAGTGACTTCATTTTCCATACATCACATTGAAAAGCACAATATTTATGGCGTGATTTTTTTTGTTAAAAGCTGTATTGCAAGAAATTCTTGACAATACAATACAATTGAAATTATTGACAGCTGGCAATGGTTTCCACTGACTGTGTCGTTCCCGCTGAAAGAAAGGGGCTGTGGAGGAGTGGGAGGACGTTTGGATTGCCATACACACTCCCTGACGTGGAACAGTTTCAAATATACACAATTGAATTTCCTGCACAGAGGCTTCAAACTCCTACTGTTTTGAATCATACATACAGTGAGTCTGTCTCTGAACTGCTAAAAGCTTTCTAAAGGTAGCAATGTAATTCATTTCATTCTTTCTCACTTGTTGGAAGGAGGCCTGGGCCAAAGCCATTTTGGAACTGGATTGGGTGCTTGCATCCTTCTGGTTGACTCCACGTGTCAGTTAGACTCCATAACCATAGCCAGTTAGGCTAATAATCCCTCCAAAACAAAACAATAATAATTTGGTCATTTTCAATCTACGACTGTTTGTGGGACATTGCTGTGCGCAATTGGCTGCCGCGTTCGCCCACAAATATGCAGTCAATTCACTTTACAGTATATTCTGTGAGCGCTTTGGGATGTCCTCCCGACGTGAAAAGCGCTATATCAAATGCAAGGATTATTATTATTATTTATTATAGGCTCAGCTGAGAACACTCTCTTGCCTCTGGGGTAGTTAGTTTGAGACCCACATTAGGTCGTGAGCTCATTGCCCAGGCTGACAGCCCAGTGCCGTACTGAGCAAATGCTGCTGTGCCTAAAATGAAACGTTAAACCAACGTTAAATCTGTCTCCCAGTTCAATTGGATGTTCTGGGATACAACACACAGCCACCTCACTTGATGGTAATTACCTGTGAAGCGCTTTGAGACATTTCAGAGTTATAAGCACTGTATTAAATGCAGGGATTACTATGGTTACCATTTAACGGAATCTTCTTATGATAATAATCCTTGCATTTGATTTAGCGCCTTATCACATCTTCGTAAGCAATGAGAAAGTGGAAGGGTTTTTGGTGACGTGATTACTCTCCATTTTTTTCCACTGGGGCATTCCTGAATCATTTCACCAAGGGGGGGAATTACGATTAGTTTTATGAATAGAAGCACTTTGCACAAGTGATGAGAAGAAAAGAAGACCTGGTCGCTGGGTGATAGTGAAGTAAGTGAACCCAGGCTCAATCGGGACACTTTCTGACAGGACCACCCTGGAATATTGTGCTGAGAAGCAGCAATGTTCAGCGGGCTTGTTCTACTGAGTTGACACTCGACCGTTGCCATTTTGCCATGGTGACTGGCTGCACTGTCACTAGGGTTGCACTGCTTCTGCAGGGACAGATTTCAGAAGCACAGGGACGTGTAGAGCGAGGACAGGAGAATTGTCATTTCCAGTGTGCACAAGCAGAATAGATCAGCATGGGAGAGGTTGGGAAATGAGTGGATAGTGCTATTTGTTTTGTAAGCCTCTACATACCAGGACAGTCAGATGATTCCTTCCCCAAGATATGATATGAATGTAAATATGTAAATCCCCTTTCTTTCCTCCCCTCTTCCAATAGGCAATGAATACTTTTCTTCCTACTCCTTCCCCAATGAAGAATATTGACAGGTGCCTCCTGAGATACACATACGGAACATGTAGAACTGAGATTGGATTGATGGACTGAAAAAAGCCAGCGTTAAGGAGATATTGCCCTTGCATTGTCGAGATTGTCTAAAGGAATGCAGCGCTTTCAACTCGATTCAGAGTAGGGAGCGATTGAAGCTTTGTTTGAAATATTGTGCTCGATAACAGAGGACCCAATGAAGGCGGAAGGTCATTGAGCTAATCTGCTTTCAAATCGTCATCATCTTTCTGCATTCCTCCCTGCACTTTTCTATAACGTGCCTTCTCTCTCTCTTTGGGTTGTTGACAACCCTGGCAGTATGTATCCTGGATCCTTGTGAGATCACGTCAAGAGATATCCTTGTAACTCTAGAGAGGAAAGGTGGAGATTGGATCAGGCAATTTGACTGCTGAAATCTCCTTTGGTCTGTTGCATTGTAATTCTAATCAGGATCTACCTGTGCTTCAAAGCCAAAGACCAGTTAGATAGCTCGAGGCTGGTGTGATCTGATTGTGCATCTTTCTGCCAGAAATATCGCAGTGGTCCAGGTGTCTGTTGTTTGGGACCACTGGTCCCTTTATTATTAGCGCTGATGAAGAAATCTAATACATTTTTATGAGCTCTGGCACAGCTCACTGGGTCCGAAATGTTATACTACTTTTAATTTGAGCCTCAAATGCACAAGAGATAATAGCAAAGCCTTCTCTTTCATCACATACTTCCTCAGTACATGCCCTGGCAACCTATCAGTTACATGTGCAATATCCCTGTCATTTTGTTAGGTTTACTGCATTACCTTTAAACAGGTAAGCAGGCTAAATTCTTGCAGTGCAGTCGGTGTGAATGTTCTGCCTCTAATGACAAATAGACTACAGATAATCACAGTGTGATGAAGGACTCTAATATTTCTCCCACGATAAATTGTTAACAACAATAATAATAATATTATTGCATTTGATGTAGTGGCTTATCATGTCGTGATAAAGCGCTATGCCAAATGCAAGGATTATTATTATTATCATCAAACTAAAGATGTTGTTGTGGCTCAATACTATCTACCAGTCATAAGAATTCTACCTCTTACTCTTTGTAAAGCAGCCTGAGACAAATTACTCTGCTTATAAGGATTAAAGCCCACAATTCCAGATCCCTTTCAACACCTCCAGAGCCTTTGACAGATTTTGGCACTGTGTACTCATTAAGTCATTACCATCACTCGATCTTTGCTATCTAGAGAGTGAGCATCAGCACAGATACAATGGGGAAAGAGCAGGAGGAACGGATTAGAGTTTGAGATCTTTACTGGGGGAGCGGAGCACCATCAGAGATCCAATGGGCTGAATAATCTCTTTTCCTGTTGCATACTCTACTCTGTATGATTCTGGTTTCCTCTGAAATTGCTGTTATCTGTGTCTCAGTTCATAGACTCTTTCACTAACATCTTGTAGGTTCTCTATGACATTGTTTTCTCTCTCTCTCTGCTCCTTTCCCACAGCAACCAGCTCAGTTACTCATCATGAAACCTCTTAGCAAGTGATTCCAATTCTCATTCAACAAATTCTTTCAGATTAAGAGTCCTCGGTATATACAATCTTCACTCCTCTTGGGTATCAACTGACCATCTCAGTTATTATATTGAATTCTTTCAACATGCTCACAAGCTTTCTATATACTGGATGTTTCACAACTATTTCTGTATTTGTCAATGTTCAGTGTAATTCTGTGCCTATCGCTCGAAATGCTTTCATTTCAGTTCTAATACGTGACGGTCTGGCTCAATTGGTAGCATTCTCGCATCTGAGTGAGGATTGTGGGTTCTAGCTGGGACTTCAGTTCTTTGAGCTCATAGTCTAGGCTGACACTGCTGTGCCGCGCTGGGGTGCTGTGCAGCGCTGGGGTGCATGCACTGCATTGACAGAGGTGCCGTCTCCGGGAGAAACTTCCTTCTCTTTTTGAATCGTGTCATGGGATCTTTAACATCCACCTGAATAGGCAGGCAGGACCTTGGTTGAACATCTCATCCGAAGGATGGCACCTCCAACAATACAACATGCCCCGAGCGCTGCATTGGAGTGTCACTTTAGACAAAGTGATTCCATGCCCCGATGTGGGGCGTGAACCCACATCCTTCTGACTCAGAGACAAGAGTGTATTCACTACGCCAGGCTGTCACACAACATGATAAGATGCTACGTAGACAGCATGAATTATTATTATTAATAGTATATTTTTCTGAATAATTGATTGTAAACAGGCTATTTGGGGTTTTGCTTGGCAGGGGCTGATCAAAATCCGTGGAGACAGATGCTGGAGAGACCTGACTTGTATGAACTATCATTACGAGGTATGTACAATATAGCAATTTTCTCCAAGTTCCATTTGATCCATTTTAGGATTCTGGTTTCAGAATAACTTAAAGCTAATGATTATGTACTTAATCAATCACGATCTTTTACGATTTGCATATATGGTCAATCCTATCGGGTCTGACAGGCACTGCATGCCATAAATCAGCTGCATTGTATACCTAAATATGCAGGACAGGTTTGTGGTATCACCTTAGAATTGACAGGCCCCAATCAAGTGAATCATTGTATTCCCCCACCTTCTGGAACTCCAGTCCCTTCTCTTTGTTCCCTCTCTTGCTTCCTTCACGGCATGTCTCAAAATCCTACTCTTCGATCACGTCTTCAACAACAACAGCAACAAGATTACATTTATATAGCGCCTTTCACGTCGGGAGGACGTCCAAGGGGTCCTACCCCTACCCTCGCTGCCCTCCACTCCTCCTGATCCCAACCCCCTGCTTAGGTCCAAATTCCTGACTGTCCAGTAACTTGGGACGTCCTCCTGACACGAAAGGCGCTATTCAAATGTAATTGGTGGTTGTTGTTCAACACTGGTGATGAACCTATAGAAAGAAATCTGAAATTCAAGCAATCTAATGGTTTATGTTCAGCTTTATCTGCTGCCAAATTCACAAAAACACAATTTCCAGGTAAGTAAAAAAAATGCTCACAACAGTTTATCCTGATTGTACGATTTATCATTGTCCTCTCATGTACAGTTCTGTGACAATCAATACTTCCTGTGCCAAAGGCATTTGTTAAACAAGCTAGGCACAGTTATTGAATTATGTGCAAACATTTGCCTAAAGATTTAGTGCCATAATCATTAAGCACAACACACTTTAGACATAATATCTTCTAAAAGGCTAAAATCTTACACAGAGCACATTAAAGGCTTCGAATTGTGCATTGGTCAATTTTTCTTCTCTCCCTTTGAAGTCTCATTTTAGGAGTAATGGGTGCTAGATTGGTAATAGCTCACTGTTTGTATTCTGGCTCCACAGTTTATCACAGTTAGATTATGGAGAGGCTTTAATCATTCTTGTTGGGAACTCACTGTCTATTTATTGAACATCCACACACTGGCCTGTCGCAAGCATACTTGCTAATGGGAATTAATAAGTCCTGATTAGATGTGCAACTTTAGCATGACCTAATAATTACAGCCCTAAACCTTAACTATACTGCAACACGAGAGCACCGGGGAGCCATGGTTACATTGCTCTTACAAGGTATTCTGGAGCCAGGGAAATCAAAGCTATGTACGTTTGTGTGTGAGCATACGTGGTACTCTGCTCTGCTGGCCTCTGAGTGCCACAGTAATATTTCTCAAGTGATAAGAGCTGTGGGGTTGTGCGCTTTTCTATTATTTTCATTCTCGCCTGATTTAGGATAGTGCCATGTCTTTGCAAAAAATCAAGGACTTTCACCAAATCATTTCAGCTCCTGATCAAGGGACGGCTCTCTTGGTGGTTCTCGCGAGGCTCTCGAGGGAGCTAACCTGGTGTAATAATAAGGTCTCCTGACAATTGGCTCCTTTTCTGTTCCTCCACAGTCCAATTCTCTTCAGGGATGGGGGGGGGTTCCACATGTATTCCAGTACAGATAATGCTAATGTGGGCAGACAACTTTATCACATCAGAACATATTACACAATCCCCTGCTTGGATCAGGACAGGTCAATTATGTTGCCCCTCTGCTCCAGCTGAGATTAGCACACTTAGCATAAGCTAGGAGTCAAACTGACCCAACTGAACTGTATAGTATAGTGCCTTTACCCTGAGTCTAGGCCATTGGGGGAAGATACATTCACAATGGTGCTGGAGTAGACTTGGCTTAAAGGCAGGAGAAGAAGGGAGGGTACAAAATTCAAGTCTGTAAGATTATCAATCAGTTCCTGTCACGACCATTCACTTTACTGTTATGAGTTGCCATTTTTTTCTTCAATTACATAATGGTATTATGTAATACCAGGGTCTGTGCCAGACAAGGTTCCACTCATTTAACACTACAGTTCAGTATAAAACATTAGAACGCCAAAGTGTGTGGGTGTTTTTTTGTTAAAAAAAATCCTCTAGTCAGTTGTATACAAGTTCAGTGAATGAAAGCGTAGCTAGGAGACAGAGAAACAAACTGAGTCACCAACTTGGTACGCCAATTCCTTGCATGTTGTAACTCCAAATAACACGATGAAGCCATCTCTCAACTTCATTCAGTTGTCTGTTTTTTTGCCACAGTGAAATAGGTAAATCTATAGAATAGGATTTATATATAGCACTTCTCACTTTGGCAGGATGTTTCAATGCCTTTGCACAGTGGGTTCAGAGATGGGTGGGGATGGCTCAGGAGCGTGATGGAGAGGAGAGGGAAAAGATGACCGAAAGCATGGTCAGAGGTAAGCCTCGAGGTGGGCTTTGAACATGGGGAGGGAGGGGGCAAGTCAAAGGGACTCTGGGATTGAGTTCCAGAGACCGGAGGCAGAATGACTGAGCTCATCTGCTGTCTCTGGGGTGGATAGGGCAGTGGACTGAAAGCAGGCTAGTGTTAGCTGAGCGAAGGGAGCAGCCCGGTTGATAGAGTTGCAAGAGGTCATAGAGGTAGGATGGGGTTGAGGCAGTACTATATATGAATGCAGTTTAAAGAGCACTAACACTGCTTATAGTATTTTCTTCCCCCTTTTGGGGTGTTTTATTCTTGAAGCAGACTCAACCCACCTGCTGTCCTGGATCTTCTAATAAGTCAATATGAATGATTATGATACATGTACCAGCTTAGTTTCTTCTGCCCCCTAACCCACCCCTAATTGGAACTGAACTTTGAGAGTATTTAAAGAAAAATATTGGAAAGCATTAACAGTGAGCACCGCTTTTACTGCAGCATATCGAGGTAGCTGCAGTTTCCATGTGGAATTGGTAAAGCATTACAGCACTAAGACCATTTAATCCCTTGAGTCTTTGCTGGTACAATCTATTGTAACACCTTTATTACACAGTCAAGTACAGTACCTCACCGTGGTAATCCGACTGACTGACTGTGAACCAAACTGTATTTCATTGGAAGTTGTGAAAGAAACTACATGGTAAACTGACTCGCAACAAAGCTAAGTACTTATGTGAAGCAAAATAAAATTTAAAAAAGTGTTCATTTTTAATCGTGTCACTTTGTTTAAAGCTGTAAGTGCTTCTGCAAGTCAAACCAGCCAATCTCCTAGCCTTGGGGCAAGTCAGTTTAAAAACACCCGCCACCACTAAAGGTCATTCCTTAATCTCTCTCAATGCATTTTGAGTTGCTGGGTGTTTACATGTTAGGCAGAAGTTGACATGACTTCAGTTTGACTTGTGCAGCTCACGTCAACACACGTTTTCTAATGCTCATTTACTTATTCAACCCAAGCAGCTCGATTTCCCGTAAACAAATTCCAGTTGTTTTAAAGTTAAAATTTGAAGTAATTGTGTTCGAAGTTATGATCGATTTTGGTGACCTCCTCATTTTCCGAGTTTTTTTTTCAAATTGGCACTCACATTGATTTATCCCTACCAGTCCCGCGGGTTGAAGTGTTCCAAACAAAATGCCAAGATACTGCTTATAAGATGCTATTTCGCTTTTTTTGCACTTTTGATTTAAACAGTGGTCACAGTTTGTGACCAAATCATTTCAGTGTAAATAGCACTGGTTCCTTGCTCTGCGTGGGGCATTTAGTATTTGTGTTTTTTTCAATAGAGCGGTGAAGGCAAGCTTAATGTTCTCATAATAAGATGCAAGATGTACCTTTGAGTTATCGCTATTTGTCAAGTTATTTCTGGAAGGTACGGATAAACTTAGTGGGGTGGGGAGGAGGGAGAGGTATCAGACAACACAAGTGGAAAACAAAGGCTGAAGTTAGTGCTTAATATTTCAACCTTTTTTGGCAGAATTTTCTGTTTTGCCAAATGCTAATTTCATCCCTGAAGCCAGAGGAAGCAATGTATCCCATGACACATTAACATCAGATGGTGATTTACCACAGCAACTTAAATGTGACCTCCATTCATCATGCAATGTGCTTAATATAGTGGAGCTTTTCACAACTTTGTCCATATTAATGAAACTCTGTTACTTCGACTACTTTTGCCTGGATAGGTACACATTTCATAATGTGGTGTGGTAATCACCCCGCGTGGGACATGTGTTGGAGAGTGACTCCATGTTCGCTCTTGAAACAACAACTTGCATTTATATAGCACCTTTCACGCGGGGTAGGTTCCCGGAGAGCTTCAATATCAGTGCTGTACAACAATTGGGTGTGATGCTTTGCAATAAATAACATATATATATATGTGTGTATATATATATATATATTGCATAGAAACAGGACTGGAAAATCCAACTTATTATCTTGCCAAGTTCAAAGGGGCTGCAAAATAGACATTCACTTAGTGTGCATGTAACGTTCTTTATTTATCCACATTTACGCTGTGTCTGAATCAGTCACAGTTCTGGAACTAATTTTTTTGGTTAATTGGCCATTATCCAATGAACCGGTGACTAAGTGCATGGATGTATCTATTGATAATATTATCTTCTAGCATAGAAGAAAGCAGCTTTGTTTTCGTTCTTTTCTTTCACCTGATCTCCTTTCATTTCTTCATCGACTGCCTCCCCCTTGATACCTACTGCCTCTTGTGTATATAAAAAAATTAGCTCAAGTCAAACCTAAGATCACGTGAAATTTTTTCTACAATGCAGCAGATTCAGTGACTTCAGTTTGGAGAAACACAGGAAAGGGAGTTTGTGACTGACAATTCTCCCATTTCTTAAAGTAAAGGTTACTTTTAACAGACCATTGATGTTGTAATAATGTATATAGACAGAATACAGTTGACACTTTCATATATCCTAAGACTTATATTCTTTGTCCGATAATCCCTTTGCTATCTATTACCCTTCTGTCTGCTACAGTTATTCAAGGCCCAAAGAGTGCTCATAAGTGTTTAACTCATTCTCTACACTTAATCAG